CCCAAACTGTGCTCATCAAGAAAGGTGCACTACACAAGCAAGTCCTCCTCCAGTTCGGGGTAAGACGGTGCCAGCCTTACTTGATCATCTTGCTCTTGTCCTGATCTTCTATCTCACACTGTCTCCATCTCTTTCTGCATCTTTTCCTGTTCTTCCCACATATCTAAGGTGTGGCTATGAAATTTAACCAACACACTGGGATATAGGGAGATAGGCATTCAATACATATTATTAAAATGACCTGCTTTAAATTACACATTCAATTAAGTATCGTCCTATAAAGTAGTCATACTTAAATTTATTGCAGTGATGCTGCTGTTACTTAAAGCCTTATTTTAGAATTTATCTCTGAGTTACTTTTGAATTACATCCAGATCCGCTTTATGAGCCAGACCAAAAATTACAAAGAGACCTTAAAAATCATCTGGAACATATGAAGGCAGTGAGCCCACAGAGTCTGTGTATTTGAGGGCTTTTTTTCTTCAACATTAAGAAATTGTTACTTTATTCTTTTGTAAAATAAGCCAAAAATGGCAGCTCTTTTTGTCCAGGTGATTCAAAGACTTTATTAAGCCTGTGGACCTTACAATATAGGAGCTATTGCTTCTTAAATATATATTTATGCGGCTATGCCCAAGCAAGTCACATATCTCAGAGGAAAATACGCAGTAGCAATATCAGAATGCCCAGCGCACAGAGGAAGTCAGTGAAGCTTTAGAATTACGTGACAACACAGTTACACGGCAGTGGTGGAACTCAGACCCGGAGTTCTCTGCTTACAAAGTCCGTGCACTGGTCCCAATTCTAGCCTCACTAAACAAAGTCAAAAGCTGCTTGTTTTCTTTTTTTTTTTTTTTTTTGGTTTTGGTTTTTCTCCGGTACCGGGAACTGAACTCACGACCTTGCGCTTTCCAGGCAGGCGCTTTGCCGCTGAGCTAAATCCCCAGCCCCTTAAAAGCTGCTTGTTTTCAGGGTGTTAGGAATCATCGGATGTTGTCATTCTCATGGAAATGAAAAGAACTTTCAGCTTTAAGCAAAGCACTGCCCACGAATCACCCCCACACACACTTGGTGTACATGAGGTTGTAGAATAGTGGCATTGGATGGGAAAGTAAGGAGAGTTTAGGCCACATTTTCATTATTTTTTAAAGTAAAGAAACAGGCCTAGCTCAAGAGGTCTCAGACCTTGTCCTCAACAGTGAGTGGTGAGGCCGGGACTAATGTCTTCCGTTCTGTGACTGAGAGTTCTCGGTCCTGCCAGGTCCAGGGCTCTCACAGCCACGCCCTCTTGCTCCAGGGAGACCACTTTGGGACAACACCCAACCCAGGCACATCTTAAGCCATCTCAATAAATCATTCTCATGCACTGACAAAAGTCTCTGCAAGGTAACACACTCAAACATTGCCTAACTTCCGAAGCTGGTAACTCTCATTCTGGAAAACCCTAAGTGAAGACCTTTAAGAAGGAAATCACATGAAAGAAATCAGAAAGAGAAGGGCAGAAGGATCTGAAAACCCCACCTCTCTGATGGGGTTTTTAGTGAATTACAGCTCAGCACAGGGAGCAATTTATGACATACACAAGTCGAAGCAGTTAGCTAAGGACAGATCCAGAAGGCGGCTCTGAAAGTCACCGTTTCAGACACACAGTTCAATGTTTTTTACAATGCTACCATCTTGCCTCTCACCCCTATCTATCAGAGTGAAAAGGGTCTTTACCTGCCTCAACTGCAGTGCTTCTCGGCTGCTCTGAAACATCAAGCCCGTTCTGCAAGAACAAGAGAGTACCACTGTATCAGAGCTTCTCTAAGTCGCTGCCTCTTTCCGGTGCAAGCGAAGCAAAGCCAGCCTTGCATGGCCATGCAGAAGAAAGCCACATAGGGACTAGAGACAGGGACAGGCATTATTCACTGTCACAACTTGCATTGCTAGAAGAGAATTTGGATGGCTCAGAGACTGGATTTCAGCCACTAATGGTTGCCATGGAATTTCTCTTTGCAAACTTGCATCAATAATCTGCCAGTTGATATGCACACAGCTGGCTCTGTGTGCAGCCGGAGCAAGCCACCATGGGAAACTTAAGAGAGGAAAACAAACCTTGCTGCCTTCGGGGCATAGAAGGACTTGTTCACGTTGTGTCGTCTCCTCTTCCAGTGGATGGACAGTTCCTAATGGCTGGGCCATGTCTGAGTTGCCCATGTGCCCGTCAGTTAGCACAGCATGTACAGATGATTTTATTAAATGCTGGTGGAATGAACAAGTACATGCTCTCACCTGGGAGATAAAACAAGTCCTATGGCAACAGAAGGTGCTTGACATCTCAGCTCTCAAGATAATGCTGATAACAAGCGTCACTAAAGGACAGGCAAAAGAAGTAGCAATGAGCCTTCTTCAAAGTGTAGGAACTCAAGTGCGCCCTGAGAGACGGCTGCAGTTTGCTGAGTAGGAGAACTTAAGCTGACTGCACTCCAAGAAGAGCAAAGTAATGGGAGTGCGTGAATGTAAATGGAAGCTTGTGGCATGGTGGGCAAAGCTTGACCGTCTCCATCTGGCTGTCCCAGGAAGTTTCTCTCAAATCAGCACGCCCCAAAATGAGCATTTCATATTACCTACCAACCTACTCCCCACCCCAGCTGGTAACCCTAGGGGCTAAGCCAGAAACCTACAGGTCAACTCTCTTTTCATCGCAGCTAATGTGACGTTAAGTTGACCTGTAGCTGCCTTATAAATGTTTCTCGGTTCTATTTCCTTGTCTCCATGTGAACACACATGCTCCACCACAAGCTGGTGTGGCCTGTCACACTGTCACAGCTTCTGACTGGTCACCTGCCTCCAGACTGGCCCTGCTCAGACCACCTACACGGCAGTTTGCTCAGTGAGGTCTTTCTTCATTCTGTAAGTGTCATATAAAAATTACAATGCCATGTAAGAAAAAGTATTGTAGAAATACATGCACAAATATATTCTTTTGTATATAACCATAGATAGAAACATGCATGCATTTATGTATGTGTGTATGTACAGGTGAATGACTATGGTCTGCATTTGTTCATGATCTGAATTGCTTCAATTACGTACACATATTATATTTAATTTAACACATGTATTATACTTAGTATAACATGTACCTAAACACACATACGTATATACATATTCACACATGGTTACATGTATAACAGCAGGCTCCCCTCATTCGTGGTGTTGCTTTCCATCTTTCAGCTGCTTATAGTCAACTTCAGTCTGAAAATACTAAATGGAAAATTCCAGAAATAGACCACGTATGAGCTTTCAGTTGCACGGCATTTGGAATAGTATGTTGAGGTCTCATGCATCCTGCTCCGTCTGACCTGGGGTGTGAATCATCCCTCTGGCCAGTGTATCCATCCTGTATCACCACCTGCAGTCACTCAGTAGCCTTCGCAGTTATCAGATTGTCTACAGTGGTATCCCAGTGCTCATGGCCCTACTTTTAGTAATAATATAAGGAAGGAACCAGGGCAAGAAATGCAGAAGGCCGGATGCATTCTGCTGTTACGCGGCAGCTCTGCAGGGTGCAAGAGGAAAGTCACAGTAGATACAGGATTTGGTGCTATCTGTGGTTTTAGGCATCCACCAGGGAGGTCTTAGAATAGATGGGCGCTCCTGTACATACACACACACGTAAACATACAAGCATACACACGCACACACATACAGGGGTGTGTCTATACCAAAAACTCAGGGGAAAGAAGAAAATAAGGCTAGAATAAGACAAGTCCAGATTTTTAAAAATCTAAGACACAAGCCAAGTGCTGTAAAGTTCTACATGGTAGCTAAAATTAACCTGTAATTTCAGTTCTAGTTTTTTAGTACAGTATTCAAGGAAAAGAAGAAAATAAATTGAGTTACCTAATTTGCATTGCCAATAACATTTTAAAAAATTATGCTCTCTATTAGGGGGAAGCACACCATTTTTTAGCAATAAGATGTGAGAAGAATGCTTCTCTTGAGACCTCTTAAAGGAAGTCTTGTCTGATGTAATGGATGAGACTTAATAACATTCTTCAAGCAAATATGACAACAAATGTGGCATGAAAAATGTTCTCTCTTAATATAAGCTTAACACATTACAAAATATAATTGCAAAGTGGATTTAAGCTTAGACCAATTCTGCTAAGTCTCTACTGGTCTCTTTTGACCCAGGGTAGTGGGCTCTGTATTATTTGCTTGATCATATGAATATCATGCACTTTAGGGAAAACTTTTAAAATGTTTTATATGTAATTGACTTCCTGCTAAAGGTTTTTGTGCTGAAGGTTTGAATCTTAAGTGCTCCATAGAGGTCCAAGTGTTACAGTCTTAGAACCCAGGTTGATGCTATCGGGAAGTGATGGAAACTTTAAATGGCTGGATCTGGCAGGAGGTCCTGAGTCACTGGGGGTGTGCCCTCAAGGAGACTGTAGGATGTCAGTCTCCTCCTGTCTCTTTTGTGGCTCTGCCATGGAGTAAGTAGCTTTGCTTCACCTTACGCTTCTCCAACAGGCCCCCAACTCTGAGGCCAATCAACCATGGTCTGAAACCTCTAAAGCCATGAGGCAAAATAAACCTTTCCTCTGTATAAGTTCATTATCTTGGGTATTTATTATAGTAAAGGAAAGCTGACTAACACATCAGGCTTATCCTAAAAGAAAATGAAAATAATTACTCTATTCCATCTAAGGTATTTTAAAATATTCACGGAGAAAAAGGATATATATACCAAAATGTGGGACTCTGGGTGGTGTGTGCAGACAACTTTTTCTTTATTGCTGTTTTTAGTTTGGTTTTTATTTATTTATTTATTTATTTTTTTTGTACATTTCAACAGAATTGCTTTGGTTTGAGTTGAGAGTGGCCTGGGCTGGGGAGACCAGGGAGGGAGACCAGGCAGGAAGCTTCTTACTGGCTCCATTTGCACAGAAATGGAAAATGGTCATGGTATGTATTTTTTAAACTTTTATTTGTAATAAAACTTTAAATCAAAGCTGTTTTAAAATAATATGTGCCTCAACATCTCACGTATTTTAAAATATGGATATGCAAAAGACTGAAAGAATGTGTTTCAACATGTTCTTAGTAATGACCTCTGCATAGAGTTTATGCCTAGTTTTTTCTTATTGACTATGCCTTTGTACACTTTCCAAGTTTTCTATAATGCCCATGTATTAGTTTTAGATTTTAAAAAGTTAAAAAAAAAAGCTTTCCTGGAAGAGAGTTGTGGAGCTGTTCTAACAGGAAAAATGGTTTACTCCATACTCACTGTGTTACTCTTGAAAAGTAATCCATTCAGTGACCCCTGTCACCTATAGCCAGGTCCCTGAGTGTGAGACAGGAGGCCCCTTAGGCCCCCTGACTAGTTCTGCAGCTCCTCACTTGTGGGTTAGGCTCCTGGTGTCTCCTCAGTGTGTCAAGCCTTGGTCTGTGCTGTGCTCCTGGGCTGTCCGCCTCCTCTTCTGAAAGCACACCTCCCCTAGCTAATGCAGTCACTGTGCAACCTAGTGTCCCCTTCCCTGGAGGCCCCATGGACCACTCCTCTCTGCACACTCACCTCTAGCCAGTGACCCCCACCACACTGAATTTAATTTCTGCTTCCTTTCGGTATTCCCCTAAGTGAGTCATGTGTGCCATTCACTCACAAAAACCCTGGGCCCTGTCAAATACCACAGAGGTTGTTCAAATCTTCCCACACAGTGGATGGAAAGAGGATCAAAGGCAGCCTTTCTCTCTCCCAAGCTCTTCCCGAGAGGGCCGTTGCTGTGTCCTGAGGAGACAGATAATATCTGACTGATAGTAAAGTCTGTCTTGGTGAGACATGGTAGTCGTGTGAGGGGTCTTCTGATCCTGAGCTGTCCTCCTGTGCTCTTCCGTGCTGTATGCAAACTTGCTGTCCAGCTCTCCTTGGACCAGTGAGGCACCTATTGTCCAGAAGATGTGTGTCCTCGGGCTCCTGATGGTATCACTTATAACCTTCAACTCTCGTGCATTTCCACCACATTGGGGTTAGGTGAGCGATTCTCTGCAACACTATAAGCAATCAAGTTTGCATTTGTCCTGGGCTCTGAATATGACATTCACAGATTAGCCCTCACCTTGTAGCGTCCCTCCAAATGGATCACATTCTAGCTGTAGCTAAGACTTTCTCTGGTGCTAAAGACCACTTTGTGTTCACCAGAACCTGTTCCCTCTGCTTCCCCAGCTCACAGCTGGACTGCATCACCCAGCCTTCCCGGCAGTTAGCTGTCCCCACGTGACTGGGTTCTGGCCAGTGATGTGAGAGTGAAGCGGGTGAGGAGGACGTCCAGGCCTGGCCCATGATAAGCTCCCATGGCTGACTTGCCTTTCTCTCTTCCTCCATCTCCCAGGGGGCGCCTGAGGTCCGGGGTAACCTGGGAAATTGAACACAGGAAAGCCTTCCTCCAGCCAGGTCTCTGAATGTCTGTGTGGAGCAAAGCGCTCTTACTCCCATAGCTGGTTTATGCATGGACAAGAAATAAAGTTCTCTGTGGGAAGCCTCGGAGATGTTAGCTCCATCAAGAGCATTTGCAGTTATCTTAGCAACCGCGCACTGCGGCGCCCCTGCAGGCCTCTCCTAAAGTAAGCATGCCCCCCCCCTCCGCTAGTTGCAAACGCAGCTTCTCCTGTCTGCCTCCCCCACTGTCCCACCACCTCCTCACACATGGGATGTTTGCTCACCTCTCCCCAAGGCCATAGCAGAAGCCCACAGAAAGGATGCTCTGGAGATACTTCGGTGAGTAAATAAATACGCAAATCTGGGTGTTCTAGAAGTGATTTTTTAGCCCCTTAAAACTTGAGCATGGCAGAGGTGGCTGTCCTGAACTTTATCCTCCAGCAAGCTCCTTGGAGTAGAAGGATCTTGGATACTGACACTGAGAGTATAACGGTTTGGATCTTAAACACCTCCCCAAGCCCTGTGTTCAAGACTCTGTCTCTAGCCTATGGCATTACTGGAAGGTGGTGGAACCTTTAAGAGGCGGGGCCTCACAGGAACCAGCTGGGTCATTGGCTGTGCCCCGCAAGGGATGTCGGGATTCTGGCCTCATTTCTATCCCCACCCATTCCCAGCTGCCACCAGGTGAGTAGCTTTGTCTACCACGTGCTCCCTACCATGAAGTTCTTCCCCCTCACCGAAGGTCCACACTGATGGGCCGAGTATAAGCCAGAATAAACCTTTCCTCCTTGAAGTTGATTCATCACAGGTGTTTTTCACAGTCGCAGGAAACTGACTAAGGTGGGGGAAAAGAGAGGGTTAGTCAAGAGAAAACAGGCTTTGGAGTAAAAAAGACCTCAGATTGAATCACAGCCCCGCCCTCTGTTAGACATGGGACGCTGGGATACATTGGCAGGGGACTCTTCTAGCCTCCATTCCCTCATCTGAGCTAAAAGGATGATGACTGAATCCATTCCGTAGCTGCACCTCAGGCAGCTCGGACAACGTCTGCCACATAATAGAAGTCAAAGTCAGCAGCTGTCATAGGAGTTTGAACCTTACAGACTGCTGTTGCTTGAGCAGGAGGCCCCAGAATACTCTGCAGCTTTGGCTTGGGCTGGCCTACCCTTCACCAGGCTGTAACTAAAGTAGTGGTCTCAACCGGGTGTGATGCCACACCCCCGGGACGTGATGGTGTTGGGAGAGCATCATGGCTCAAGGGATGCTACGTCACCTGCAGATGGAGACCAGGGTGCTGCTACACATCCTGCAGTGCACGGGACATCCCCTCCCCCCCGTGTGTGACAGTGTGCACACACACCCAGCACACACACGCACACACACACAACACAGAATATTCTTCCCATTCAAAGCATCAGCAGTGCACAGATGGAAAACCCCTGGGATGTGTTCTCCCCAGAGCTCCGGACAGGAAGACCGCAGGAACCTCTGACCGGGACCAGAAGAATTCCCTGGCTGCAACCCAGCGGGGGGGAAACACTGCCTTGAACAAGTCCAGTTCTGGTCAGCCTCTAGGAAACCCAGTCTGGGCACCACCTGAGGGAGAAGGGGTGGGCAATGTGGCATGTCCAGAGGAGAGGTGGAGGTAAAGGTCACCATGGGTCATCAAATTAGCCATGGTAGCAGGGTGGGTACGTTTTACTGGGGAAAATCACTTCTCAGACCAAATCATGGAAACTGGGAGAAGAAAGGCTTTGTCAGAAGTGGTGATCAGGTTTTGCTGTCATGGGCTTCTACCTCAGCTTTGAGCAAAGATAAGTGGGAAAGTGCCCTCCACTTTTCCCTTTGCAAGAATGGAAACATCTGCTTAAAGAGCTAGTACTTTGTGCTGGACATAGTGACCTTCAGGGATGGTTTCTACTGAGAAAGAGTCTTGGGAGAAGAGGGTTTTCTCCATTGGAAGAATCTTAACGCCAGAGAATCACCACAGGATTCTGGACCTGGCTTAGGACAGCTGCTCAGAGATTTCTGAAACCTCAGTCCACAAAGGTGCAAAGAACTTTGGGGGCTCCTGTTAGTGAGTGCGAAATCTCGGTAGAGATAAGTATGGAGTAACTTTGGTAGAGACAAGCGTGGAATAGTTCAGTGGCTTCTTACGCTCATGGCCTAGAAATGCATTAACCACTTATCATTGTCAAGCAAGTTAGTGCTGGGAATGCAGAAACGAAAACAAGTGGAGGAATGTACTGGGCGGTACAGTTCAGGCTGGTGGTGAGGGGTGGGAGCGAGCTCAGGGTGCCACTGACACCACAGGACGGGCACCTTACACAGACTGCAGGGCGGGCAGTGGGAGGAGAGGCGTGGAGCCATCTCGGGAGCTGTGGGGAGCTGGACTGTCTTCCTGTCCTCTTATTCTATTGTTTTACCCGCTAGACCTCTCAGATTGGTTCCCTTCACCAGGAAAATTTGTGCTCACTTCTTGCTTCTCTCAAAAGAGTTCCTTATTGGAAGGAAGGCAGGGCCTTTTCTGGTTAGAGGGGTTAGCTGGGCATCCATGCAGGGCAAGGCTGGCAGTGCCCAGGGCCACACATCCCTGAAATAGCCATCAGCGAAGGGGAACTCAGTGGATCCGTGTCCTAGCTCCCTGGCTCTTCGGGAGGGCGCTGTGTCCTATACTGTATCCGAGATGCCCCCAGCTGCCCATAGCAGCGGCCTGCTCCTCAGTGCCGCCTGCATTGGCTTTCCCACTCCCTGGCTGGTGCCTCCCAGGATCCGCTCCCGTTTCTACTGCTTCCACACAAATGCCAGTCTCAGGGTCTGCTTTTGGAAAACCTAGGTGGAGACAAAGCGATCACGGAACACGCACTTGCCTCACTCCTCACCTTTAAGCAGTGCACGCACTTTGGCGAGATGGTTCTCACATTGTCACAACAGACAGATGTTTATTCTTCAAGAAAACCCATGCCACTGCAAATAGCCTGAAGGGTTAGGGATGTATCCTGAAGCACAAGGTCATCGGACACGCTCCTGCGCGGGGTGACAGAGGTTCCTCGGGGGATGGGTACTGACAAGCAGGGTAAGGGCCTGTTCCTATTCATCTGGTAGTTTTTTTTCGTGGGGAGGTTGAGGCAGGTCTCCCTATGTCATTCATGCTGGCCTTGAACTCACAGCAATCCTCCTGCCTCAGCCTTCCAAGTGCTGGGATTACAGGCGTGTGCCACCACCCCCAGCTTGATCTGCTGAATGTGATCTGGGCAAAAGGTATCCCAGAGCACCAAAAGGTGCCCACATGCTGGGTATCTGGACAGGTGCTTCTGAGTCAAGCCTCACAGCCTGTGATTCACATGTGACACACAAGGACAGGGAAAATGAACACTTCCTTATGTCTCCACTTGCAATCCAAGAGTCACCAAAGGCTGGATGGAGACTCTGGGATCTCTCTGCATATGCATGTGTACACTTGGTGAGGGGCGCCTTGATGACCGGACACTTTAATTAAGCCATTATGTAAATGAGTTTGAATTCTCAGAGCCTCCTGGAGATGCAGTGGATGGAGTAGTGGGTGATAGAAAGAGACAGTCCACGATTAAAATGTCACATGGGATCAGTGCCAAAGCAGAGGTCCCACCCGGGAGACTTATGAATTGACTGCACCCTCCTCATCTCCACCCCGTCAGTCACTGCTGATGGGCAGAGGGAAACCATTTTCTGCCATCTGGTTTTTGCAAAAGTCAGGCAGTAAGCTCCTGGGGACACGGATCTTATCTTGCACAGTTAAGAATGAGCACATGGCTGTATACACTCAACAAGCCCTCTTAGTACTGAATGCAATCATAAAAATAGCCCATTCGCGGGTATTTGATAACATTGGCTCGAACTTTAGTCATCGCGTCTGAAGGGCACTGGGTTCTCCGGGCTGGTGCCTGGCGTCTTCCAAAGAAGCCCATCAGCTGATAAGGCGGCAGGGCTATTGTGAAAACCGCACAGTAGTTCCCAGGATCCTAGAAAAACAGCAGTGAAATCACAACCTTTTTCCCCCCTTGGTGTTTGATCTTGGCTCTGAGTTCTTTTCAAATGAGAACTGGACCAGATATAGAGCACGAACCCTTCTTCTGAGCCTGTGCATACTGGGAGAAGGGTGTGGGAGGGAGGGAGGGAAGGAACCCTTCCCGATAGGCAGTCAGGCCAGGCCTTGCTGTGATTTTCAGGGTTTACAGACAGGCCGTTTTGACTCCCAGGAAGAGCACACAGATCACAGGTGAATGCCTCGTTATTTGGGAATCCAGAGCAGAATTCTCTCCAGGACAAGCTACAAAGTCCCTAGAACCCAGCAGGAGGAAGCTCATGGGGCAGAGGTGGGTTTGCTCAGGACACACGGATGCCACGCGGTTGTGGGCATGCACGTTGGCAGAATGTTGCAGTGGTCCGGGCCTCAACCTAGCACCAAGAGTCCCTGGGGAAGAGCCCCCCTCTGAGTAAGTCCTTTCCATGCTCTGAGGACAGTGGGGGACACCTGCCACACAGCTTTTCTGTGATGGTGGCAATGACCGAGGCTGCCAGAACCCACGCTCTGTGCTGGGTCAGCGCAAGGCCAGCGAGGGACCGTCCCGGAGGGAAGCACAGTCCGCAGGACGAGCCTTGCTCGGTTCCTAGAGACTGTAAGTGCTGGAACGCCCAGTGCCAGAGCTGTCTGCGTCCAACCTCAGCGAAATCATCCTTCCCAATTCCCAGAGCACAGTGTTCCTAGGAAAGAGCAGAATCTTGGGAGGAAATCATGTCATCCATGAGGGGAAAGCCAGTTCCTTTGTACTATTTTTCAAGGCTGCCTTCAGAGCCAATAATCTGTCATTCCTTGAATAAACAGGCACCTTATCATATCACAAACATTTATTTAACCCTTTTCTCCTGCACTTTTACCAGCAGGGAGAAAGTGGTTAGCAGGGCAGCCAGAACCCTGTGGCAGAAATGCCAAATTCCCAAACATTACACCCAATCTGTAAAGTGTCAGCCGGCCCTTCTCCTGTCCCTCCAAGACACGCCGAGCCGGTCACCCAGGCCATGGCACCACCGTGCTGCCCACCCAGCCTCTCCTCCCACCCGCCTGTTAATACCCCTCCTCCTTTGCAGACAGGCCCTTAATTCCATCCAAATGCAGTCTGGACTAATGCGTTGGGTTCTTCAGCGGTTGATGAGGGAAATGGAAGAGGTGGGGGTGGCGAGCCGGTGTTTACATTTCTGCTCTTAGGGACAATCCACTTGACAGACATAGCTGGTGAGCCCGGCATTTTTTAGTGTGCACGTGTGTGCACCCGCATGCGTGTTTGTGTGATGTTTTTCAAAAGCGTATTCCGTGACTCTGACATCACCAGAAAATGAAGCGAGTGAAGTATGGAAATTCCTCCAAGCTCCCACAACCTTCGTTTCTCTCTCTGTGGGTGAATTTTGTTTTTCTTTTCTGGTGTTGCTCCCACACAATGGGGCCCGATCTTATTCAGGACAAAGAAACATATAAATAGAACACGCGTGTGGTGGAGACAAAGAGAGTCTGAACAGGCGCCTGGGGGCCGCTGGGAGACCCAGGGGTCTTGGCCTGAAGGCTTCGACGTCTGCAGGTCCCCAAGGGTACAAGTCAGAAATTTCAAAACCATTGTCATCCTTGGGGACACACTAAGAAACCCTGGGGTGGGGACCATTGGAGAAGGAGAATGTGAAACATCTGTGGGGGGAGGCAGTAGAAGGTGTGTTGGAGACAGGACGCCCGTAGGTCTAGGAGGTCGGGTGGTGCGGTCTCCTTCTACCCCACTGCCAGCGGCCAGCGCCAAGGCACACAGCAGTGTCTCACAGTCCCTGCCACCTCATGGCTCCACTCTGCTGCTAAACCTCTCTCCCGGGGTGTTTTCCTCCTCCGCCCAAGCCCTCCCTTCTCACAAGCGCACACTGCCGGGCTCGCCAAAAAGACTTTTATCAGAGCAAGTTTGAACACACTAATGTGTGTAGTCCCTGAGTGGTTATTTTTGTTTCCAAGTCTGGACATAGACTCACTTGTTCAATTTCCTGCTGGGTTGTATCAAGGGGCTTTAACATGTAAATCTCTGATAAGGACATGAGCTAATTTATGTCCGCTGCCCTCTGAATCGCTGTCAGGATGGCCTTATTTTCTTCTCTTGCTTCCCTTATGCTTTATTCTTTCTCAGTCATCATCGTCGTCACCGTGACTGGCCCTGTACGTTCAGCGTACATTTAAAATATGTTCTTAGGCTAAAACTGCCTATTTCAAGCAAAACCAACAAAACCCCGCCCTGTCCCTGAAGTTTGTATGTGCTTAACAATCAAAGAACATTAAATTTTCTAAATGGAAACATTTAAAAACAAATAATCTACCACTTTATTGATAGACCTTAGCCAGCTTCACTCTATTCAGCTGATGGAGTTTTGATATCTCACGTTGAAATCCTATCTGCCCTTGAGCAGCTTTCAAAACCTGCTCTGGCTGAAACTCCCGTGTAAGTCAACCCTTATGGGTTTTCCTAGGCAGTAGCTTGACCAAAGAAACACATATTTTCAGATAATTGTTAATTCTCTGCCTGATGACACAGGTGGGGGTGGATGGACTTACCATGAACCTGGAATCAAATATCTGGTTCCGTTCTCACAGCCGAGGGTAAACACAGCCTAGGCTGAGTCCAGAACTGCCCACGGGTCTGTGAGCTCAGACCCTGTTTCTGGAAAGGCCTTTAGTGAGTCAAAGCCAAAGCCTGCCTTGCCATTGGCTGGGACAGAAATAGAGCCCATCTATTCTGGGACTTGCATAGCAAGCCAGGTAGGCCTTTGACAGCTCACTCGTTCCTCGGGGTTCCAGCCGCAAGGCCCCGGATGTGACTGACATTCCTGCCTCGCCCCAGCTGAGAGCCTCCACCAACCCTTTGCCATTCCTACAACTGCCCTTGACCTTTCAGAAGAAGAGATTTTTTTTAAAGCAACAAGGCAATGTAAGTCTGAGTGCAAACTGCCTTTGAAAATGACCATTTTTTTAATCCACTGTGATTCCTTTAAAATCCCTCTCCTTCCCCCCACAGTGAACTTTAAATCCTTCCATCCATGGGGCCCAAAGGCAAAGGGTCTGGACTCTCTTTCCCAGCCAGCCCGCTTGCCAGTCTGGCTTTTCTCCTCTTTGTTTGGACGCTCTTCTTTATGGCTCCTTGCCAATGGACAGATGTAAGCGATTGCCTGATTATTAAGGGAAAAAACCCAAACACACATAGACGCACGCTGTCTAGTATTAATGACTGCAGAACTGTCTACAGAAGGTAAGTCGGGGCCCTGGGCAGACCACAAGCTCTCAGCCCTAGTCAGATTAAAAGCAAATTTAGGCAGACACAGGAGCCCGAGGAGGGAGCATCTCTGGCTCTTGGGGCTCCCACCTCACGCAGGGCAGTCAGGGGTGAGCTTTATCCATCTAAGTTCACCATCTTTGGGGCAAGACCCTCTAATTTCATGTGCCCTAGCCGTGCTGGTGACCTCGTGTTTGGTCCCAGCCGTCCTGAGTCATATTAATAGCTTGTTGAAGTGGAAAGAGCACCGGGCAAGGCGTCAGATGGGTCTCCCTCCCATCTCTGCTTCCTGGTTGCACGACCCAGGGCAAATTTCTGTTCCCTGCTCAGTTTCCTTGCCTGCAAACCGAGAGGGCTGAGCTAGAGACATTCTTTCCATTTTTCCTTAAGCAAATATTTATGTAGCTCCTATTCTGTGCGAGACATTAAGGATGGAACTAAAACCAGGACAAACAAGGTCCCTGCCCCATGGAGTAGATGGAACAGCAGGACAATGATAAAGAAAGTAACAGAAAACAGGCCAAGCGTCCTTGTACCTCCCACAGCCTTTGCACACATGCACAGTAGCGGGATGGGCTTCGGGTTCACAGGGAAGCAAAGCCTCCAGCTAAAGACGCAGGGCTGTAACAAGGGATGCAGAGGCCTTCATGACCCTGGCATCTCCATCCACGGACACCTTCGGGGTCTCTCCTGAGGGCCAGGTGTCTGCAGGCGTCCTTCCACTTGCTGCTTTCACCGAGGAATTTGCAGAGACAACAGCCAAGTGTGACACAACACCCGCCTGGAGCTCCACCCTTCAGTGGAACTGTTATTTTTAGGTTTCTCCTCCCTTTGCGTGGCCTTCTGTGTGGCTCCCTCTATGACTCACGGCTGAGGACAGCGCCGTGGACACGTGACCCCTCCAGCGGGCCTCGCTTCTTTGGACACAGCCTCTCTCCTTTCCATCTCCCTGCACAGCCTGAGGACTCTCTGTGAGGAGAGCTCTGGGCCTGCCCAGCATCCCACAAACACACGCTGCTCACCTTGACAGCCGCCCCGGAAGCTGGGGTGAAGAGCCCCGGAGTCAGCAAGTTCCCCAGCCACAGAGCTGAGCGCATCATGCCCTTCTGCTATACTCCTTGCGCACAGCAGGTGACTCAGCGCCAGAGCTTTGGACGCCGTGGAATGCTTTTCTTCAATTTGAGGCCATGTTACCCAGGCACCAGGCATGGAGGCCACACCCAGAAAAATCACACCTTGCGTAGGTGTTAAGATGTAGAGCTCTGGGCTGGGGATTTAGCTCAGCGGCACAGCACCTGCCTGGCAAGCACAAGGTCATGAGTTCGATTCCTGGTACCAGAAGAAAAAAAAAAAGACCAAAAAAGATGTAGAGCTCTCCGTGAGACCTGGAGCTTTCAAAGGGTGCAAAATGAAACTGAGTCTTCTAGAAAGCGCTGAGCATGAATCATCTATGTCTATTACCATTTGGGGGCTTTGTTTCCCCTTTGGTCATAGAAGAAAATACTTCCAAGTCTGTATTTAAGTCCATATGACAAAAAGGACAAAAGCACTGCCTCGTGGCTGCGGGTCAGGGCACGTGCACAGAGAGGAGCAAGGTGGTGGTTCCTGCTCAGATTAGGCAGGAAACTCTTCCCGCCTAAATCCACCGAGCAGTATGCTCTGCACAGTCTTCCCTCACCCCTTTGAACATTGGCTTGTTTTGTGATTTCCGCTGTCTCCGGCTCTTTCCTATCACAGGCCATCACCGCCTGCTGCTCCTTCCGTCGGAAATCTGCTTCTCTCTTTCACTTGGCTAATTCACTCCTTCAAATCTTCACATAAAGATCTCTTCTCTAGGACTCTGGGGAGCAGCCCCCAGGCCTTTAGAGGCCGGTGGATTTCCCTGGTCCTGAATGGCGTCCTGTGTGTTTTCTTTGTAGCACTATCGCAACTGTCTTAAGTGACTATTTATTAAATTAACTTGCCGAATACCTGTGTTCACCAGAGTTTAAGCTTCTTAGAGACGAGCCTCAGCCATCTGCTACTACTCTTTCCACAGCCTTGGGAATAAGAGTACAGTAGTTCTTCAGAACCTGTGTTGAAAAAAAAACCTGAGTTGATTTGGTCAGTGTCTTTGCTCTGCAAATTTACATACTAGAAGGACATAGATGAAATATTTGTATGTGCACTTTTCCTTTATATCTTGATTCATTTTTGGACTTCCTATTTTGTTATACAGATCTGTTTATCCACAAAGACCATGAGATCCTCACTGATTGTCCTTCACAATGTATTTTGACATCTTGTGGGGTTCATCTTATTCATTAACCATCACTCCCCATGCCAACACCCCATCTGACTATTTTTAAGATTTTCTCTTTTTCTACATATTCTGTCATTTCTTTATGATGCGTCTTGATGCGAAGTTCTTCTTCCTCCTTCCTTTCTTTTCTTTTTTTGAGACAAGGTCTCACTATGTGTTCCAGGCTGCCTTGAATTCACTATGTAATCCAGGCTGGCCTCACACTTGCAGCAATCCTTCTTTCTCAGCCTCCCAAGTATTATAGGTATGCATCACCAGGCCCAGCTGAATTATTTTATCACTATATAATGTTTCTATTCCTTGTGGGAAGTTGGTACATGTACAAAACACATCTTAATTCCTTTTTCATCCCCTTTCCCTTCCCTTCCTTTCCCCTCTGCCAGTCCTTGAGCCCCCTCTTCCTTTTTCATTTTGGTACATGTTTGCAGTACTTAGCGCTTACCTTCCTTGTGTGAAGTTGGTACATGTACATAACGCATCCCAATTCCATTTTTTTCGGCCCTAACCCTTCCCTCCCTCCCCCCCTCTCTTCTCATTGACCGAGATGAATATTCACTATGCCACCAATGAATGAGTGTGTGTAATATAGTAAAACTATGTATATGAAATGATATAGTGAAACATGATGCATATGAAATGAATATTCAGAGTATCTAATAATATTCACCATTATTCTTTCACCAGCGCCCATTATTTTCTCTTCTTACCTTCCTATGCATTATACTTTTGAAGAAGGGAAACCTTCTTTATCTGCTCCCCTGTGCTATTTCTTTGCCTGTCCGTACACAGTTCTGTATAATTGACTTCTATCTTCAGTTCTCTAATTCTCTCTTCTACTGTCCTAATCTGCGGCCACACCCATCCATTGATTCTCCATTTCTATGAGTGTATTTTTCATTTCTAGAAATTCTACTTAATCTTTCTCAAACCCGCCATGTTCCTTTTTATTGTTTCCTATTTCCTATACATATTTGCAAGCCTGTTTTTCATTTATTGAGATAGAATTGGCATAGTTATTTGTACACCATGTCTGGTCATTTGCTAACAGCAGCTGTCTGACTCTGATCTGCTATCTGTTTTCCCGGGCACTAAGCACAGTGCCTTGCTTTTAAGTGCTTAGCAATCTTTACACTGCTTGCTGCCCTTAAGAAATCATTTGTACAAAATTCCTCAGGCCTCAGAGATTATTCGAGTTTGGTTCCGCCGGGTGCTTGGGGACACTACAGTTCAGGGCCTTTTTCAACTAAATTTATAGCATGAAGTGTCTTGGCCCGCTCTCCTGACATGTATTTGGGCTGCAGATGTGCAAATGGGCAAGTGCTGCTGCCCAGTGGCTCAGTGTCCCCTTTCAGGGACAGCTGTTTTTTCTTTAGCCTTGCTTTGTTTAGTGTCAAGTTACGCACATGATCTCCCTGGGCGGGAGATGGGCTTTACCTCTGGTTTGCTCTATTCCTGGGAGTATGATCCTTGGGAAGAGTTCCAGGTTAAGAGGGTCGAAGTCTCCTGTGAGCCCCCCTCCTATCTTGGGCAGTCCTGGCTTTTCACTTCTGGCTTCTTTATCCTGAGCCTATTAAAACCACAACCAGGTCAATTTAAACCAATCAACAAATGTGGTCAGGTCAAGAGCTAATCACTTAGTAATTCCTTGTTATCTTATTAGCTTTTCAGTATCTTTAAGAAGGATTTTACTTACTATTTCACCCAAATTCCAGTGGAAGGGTTAATATCAGCAATGGAGCCCACTATTGCCAGAAGTGAAATAATGTCTGTTGATTTTTCTTGTAAGTTTTACTAACAACTACGTTAGCCTTTTTAAATCCCTTATTTTTATTGACTACACATTTTATGTATAGATTTCTTTAAAGTAAGTTTTGTTTGTTTGTTTTTAAATCTTTCTATTTTAAAAGGTGCCATGCCTTTCCATTTCATTAAATCTCTTTTCTTCCTCTATAGCATTTTAAAGTTGTTTTCTACATGGTTTATATTTTTATTAAGTTTCCACTTTCAAATTTATAGCTTGGTGCTTTATGTCTTTTTGTTATCTGAACATAAATATGAAAG